ACGGGGGGAGGGGGGAGGGTCAAAAGGTGTCTTGAAGGGGGACGGGGGTTGGTCAAGCACACAAGGTGAAACGCCTGCTTGAAAAGAGGAATAAAAGAAAGTGTAGGTGCTGAAAAATTTCCCAAATCTGCATCGTTTTTTTCTCTCTTCGTTTTCCTTTTTTTCTTTTTCTTTCACTTTCCTTCTTGGAAGCACCTGAGGCCACTTACAATTAATGTATATTTACCTTCTGTAGATGTTTAATGTTGATTCTTTACTATGTTTCCTGTGTTTGCCCAACAGGACATCCCGGCAGGTCAAAATAATACGTATTGTACCTTTGAAAATTTAACTCCATCGCGTAATTATTCAGTGTCCATCGCCATGAGAAATATGTTTGGAAAAGGACCATCTGCAACAATCATTGTATGCACTCCAGCGGCTTCAAGTGGTATAGTTGATTTGTTATTTGTGACAAACCGTGCTCAGAAAATTGAAAGAGCAAAGGATTTTAAGAACCTTACCTTAACAAAGTTTTAAGTGCTATTTTTTTAAAGGTGTCAATTTAAGCGTTTTAATAGATATGCACTAGCTTTTACTTTATTACAATTAACAAAAGGCTTCTAAGGTATATGAAAGGTTCCCAAGAACCCCTTTGCCTTGTCCAGTCTTTCTTTGTCTCTTCATTTAGAAAGAATGAGTACTAATCTGCGCTCACTCAAGAATTTCTAATTTCTGCATATTGTGTTGGTGCACTAATATAGTGGCATTTTTTCCATTCCCTTCATATTTGACAGAAACTTATGAGAGTGCAAGGAGTTGAATAAGTCTAGGTATCCTCATTTCTGCATCATCCTTTTTAAGAGCAATCGGTATCTATAGGTGTTAAAATTTTTTTAAGGTCAACGTTTTAAATTTTTTAAAGGAAAAAAAAAAGTTAATGCAAATGCTCTTTTTTATACATATCAATACACACCTGACCTACTATGATTTAATTTGCCGATCAGTGCCGTGACCAAAGTAAATTTTTTAAATCTTGTTAAAAACAGTGAAATTTTCATTCAATTTTTATCCTTATTTTATACACAAATTGGAATTGTTAATCCATCACTCATGTAAGTTATGCTTTGAATGTGAACGCTCATCAAGCTTTTGCCCCTTTGTTTAGATGCCGGAGGATCAGATGTACCCACTCTAATCCTTGCCTCTTATCATACTGTTGAAAAAAGTCTGCATGGTGCAAAGGATATGTTCGAAAATTTAGAAGTTTTATTCAAGACTGAAAACATCATCAAAGGTGAGTTCACCACTAGAGCCATTTTTTTAATGGTAGATGTAGCAATTATGTATCTGTCCCAGCAGTAGAGATACAAAGAAGAAGAAAAAGAAATAAGTGCAGTTTCTGCTATGTCGAGAAATATGTATTCGAAGTTTCAAAATTACATGGATCCTTATGATGGAAAGAAAGTTCAAACTGACTTTTGGTGCTAAAAAATTGTAATTCGGAATCAAATTTTTCACAGAACATGCATTAAAACTAGTTTTACTTGAAATCATTAATATCTCAATTTTTCCATAAACTGCACTTAAGTGCCTTATCAAAACTCTGAAAGTAAGTGGATTTCTTTTCTTAATATTGTATATTATGTTTGCATTTTTTTATTGGTCATTTTAATATTTTATCATATTTCTGTTTTTATAGGAGTAGGAATTCATGTGCATCGAGAACTATTGTTTGTGTCTGATTCGTCAGGAAAAATTTTTATGAGCTCATCTAGTCACTCTGCCGACCCTGTAGAAATCTTCTCTCCAGGCTCGTCTCGTCCATTAGATTTAAGTGTTGACTGGTTAAATAACCACCTGTACATTCTCCAAAATCTTAGTATCAATTCTAGCTCATCATCCTATCAAATTATCCAGAGCTCCTTGGATGGCTCTAATCAAACGGTCGCTGTCTCAGGACTCTCCATAAAACCGGATCATATTGAAGTCGATCCTTACAATGGGTGTGGTATTACAATTCAGAATCAATCTCTTGAAATTTATTTTTACATATTCTATTATTGTCATTAGATATACGTAATTGGACATCAAGTTCAAGTGAAAAGGGATCTCATTGCATGGAGGCCACTTCTTTTGACAAGCTTCTCTCGTCAGGTTGAGTCGAATACTCTGAATTCCGTTTTTCAATTGGAATCTTTTTGTAGCATACCAAAAGTTAGAAGCTTATTGTACATTTTTGCATCAATAGAAAGAGTAATTCTTGCATTTTCACCCGCCAATTTTTGAGCATATAATGAGGTTGACAAAACTTTTAAGAGTTTCACCTGAAACTACCTCTGTGAATTGCAAAATTAGATTCTTCGCAATTCTACTTTGGTTTGACATAGTTGGGCGTTTTAAATGCCTAATTGTACAGCGCACCTTTTAGTAATGGTGCCAATCTTTCGATCTTGGCCTTTTCAGACCTGGAGGTTTCTTTTCTCATAGATGGTTGCACCTCTGCAATTTGATGCACAGGATGTTGATTTTTGCATGAAAAGACAAGGCAGAAGACAGTCTTTTTAAGGGTTCATTTAATTTGAAACCAGCCTATTTGGCCACTCAGCAGGAAAATATCCCTTCTTATCTTTCCCCCATGCTGCATGAGCACAAAAACTGACATGGAAATTCTATGATAAAAAATGGCATGCAATTTTATAAAATGCATGCAACCTGATGTAAGAGTAACAACATGGAACTATTGCAATAGAATTTAGAATTATTGGGGGAAAAATTGAAGAAAGAAGGTCTCAGTTTCAGTGCTGATAGCAAGGCAGGAATGATACGTAAACTCGCAGTTGTAGTTTGTCTTCTTAGACCAATGTTATCTTGAGTTGACCCCTATGGAAAAAGTGCCGTATCATCTTTTTAAATTTTGCAGCTTTGTAAAAACATGAGAGGGGATGGATGCTTCAGTTTTTTTTTTTTTTTTTTTTTTTTTTTTTTTTTTTTTTTTTTTTTACTACTACTTCAAAAACCACACAGGTGGTAATCCAGCTCTTTCAGGTAGAACCTCACCCCCTTTAGTTCCTATAATAGAACGTGCTTGAGGCAACCGTTGCCACATTCTTGCCTAAGTCTATTGAAAGCACAAAATTATGTTTATTTTCAAATTCAATTTAAATGAGCTGGTTACAATTTCTAATTCAGTTTCCTCCCCCGATTTTTTTATTTCTTCAATAACACATTAAATATGTTTCAGATATTTATTCTGGGCTGTCAAAGGAATTGGCGTCTTCCGTCTTGACTTGGCAGATATTGGGATGAATCCCAGTGAAACTTTTGAGCCAACAAAAATCTACGAGAATCCAAATCTAGGAGTATTTATAGTTGATTACACCAATTTCCAGCTAATTGCCCCTGTTCATAATGACAATACTGTGATATCAATCTCTTTTGACGGGTATGTGGAACATGTTAAAATCAAAGAATTGTCTTTTTATAAAGCTCCTCTTTGTGCCCAAGGTACCGAGATTTGAATCACGATTTGATAGTGGATCGATCAATGAATGATCTCTGATCAACTAATTTTATAATCAGGTATTAGTACACAAAATTTGACCAAGAAAAATTTTGAAATAGCTATATAAGTAAGTCTTGAGTGATTATTGCAAATCGGAAGGCAAAACAATTTGAGACGTTCACTCATCTTATTTATGTCACACGGGCGTCAGTCGTCACGGGCATTATTTCAAAGTGCTTCTCGGTCAAATTTGTTTGCACAAGTATCTGACCTTCTACAGCGTGATTTGATCTTTGAAATTTTAGAAAAAGTGTCCTGAAATCCAGAAATTATCAATCTATTGACCATCTAATCATTTTCTGAAGAACTGAAGATCCACCTGAACCTTCTTAAAATTGCATTATGAGATTTCTGCATTTCTCTGAAACAATTTTACTGCATCACAGAGTTAATTTAGTTTCTTAAAAATTTTTTTAGAGACCAGCAGCATGAAAAAATGTAAAAAAAATTCACAATTTAGCTTAGGTCAGTGTAGAAAAGGAAGGTCAATTAATGGAAAGTTGTGTTGTATGAGCAAGAGCCCATAGTAAAAATAATGTAAGGTTGAGTGATATCAGGTTTTATATAGTAAGAACATTAAGTCTGAAACTACTTTTAAGTTTTAAAATGAAGTTTTGAGGTTTTTGTGATGAACTGCAGATCCATATTTAAGAGGTGTAACCTGTAGCGATGGATCCCATTAAACTCTTCAAGACTCTTTAGCAACTTCAAATACTTGGTATTATCTAATATGACATCTGTTAATTCTAGAAAAGGAGTGAGTGACCTGCGCAAGAATACTCAAAGACCACAATTCCAAGACGTAAAATCTTTGGCAATGGCTAATGATTTGTTTTACTGGACCAACGGAGAAAATATCCTAACAGAGGAATATCATCCTGGTTTGAAAAGTTTCTTCCACAACGGTTTTCAGGAGTTCTTGAAAAATTTCCCTCTTGTAGCAATTATGGTGAATCTTCCATCCTCTCAACCAGTCCCAGTTCCCGTAAATGCCCCAGAATGTGTTCAAGCTATTATGAGTTCAACGTTTGCCAAAGTGTCTTGGCAGCCTCCTCGTCGTCTAAGCAACCAAGGTTTGTCTGTATTTTTATGTAAAAGGAGCCGTCTTTTAAAACAATTTAACCTCTAATTTTTATGAATTACCATTGGTTAGTGAAAAATTTTTCCCTGAAAATTGAGGGATATTAAGCCAAAAAATAGGATGAAAACGTCTGACGGCATTTTAGTTGTGTGCATCAGCAACATGCAATAAGGAATTTTTTCATACAATCAGGGTTCACTCAGGTAATTTTTCTTTGCAATCTTCTGTTCAAATTAAAAAAGGTAATTCGTTGTCTGAAAGCTTATAATATCACTCTCCTAAAATTAAAATTAAATAATCCAGCTGGAGCAATGGACCACCAGACAGGGTGTGAACTAAAGCAAGACATTTTTTTTTTACTTATCAAAATTTTGGGTAGAATGTTTTAAAAGCATGAAAACTTACCCAATTCTGCTCACAAAAAGCAAATAACGATTCTTGTTTACGTTAATTAACACTTTGCACTCGCAAAAAACCTGAAATATCATGCGTTTTGTGCAGTTTTAAGTATCATTAGTGACATTGAGGCTCATCATTTCAGCCTCCATTTATAAATTTAGATGACAGTATGATTCCCCCCTCCTGTAAATACACAGAAAGCAACCTTATTTGAATAATTTTTTTTTCTCATAACATTTTTATCTAGGATGTAGAGATCGGATGGAGTCAACAGCAACACCAACCTAAAAGAGAAGGAACCCTATTTACTTTTGTTCCTATGATGAAAAAATGAGATAGGCACTTTGTGCTTATTACTTTGAATAGTTTACGCACATGAGTTTTTTAATCACTGGTTTTGATTTATTTATTTCTTTCTTTAGGAAGAGGAGCTTGGCAAGGATGGTCTTACAAACTGTGCGTGAAACATAAAAACAACATCCTCAAAATCTGGAATGTCAGTGTGTCAAAGCATATTATCACAAGTTTACTTCCAGGAACGGAATACAGTATCAAAGTTGCAGCTGTAACATCATCCGGTCAAGGACCATGGTCAGAGGAATTCAAAGGGCAGACAATGACCAGATCTGCCTCTATACTTTGGTCCACTACTCACGGATTACTTTCTTCTGATGTTACTGGTGACAATGTGACAACATTGATCACTAAAGACAGTTTAAAAGTAGGTGAATTTAACAGAATTTCACATAACTTGTTTCCTAATTAATATATATCAACGGTGGAACCATCAAACCACATATCTTGTTTACGGTGTTTTAAAATCTCCTCTCCCTTTTTATTTATCAAAGGAGAACAAATCACCATCATTCTTTGAAGTTTTCACAGAATTTCCCTCACAGAAAGAAGAAAAATCTCGGAAGTTTTGAGATTTGATGTTGAATAATTTCCCATTAAAAAAATAAAGTATAACTGGAAGTCTGCAACATCGCAAACCAAGATTTGTGGTTAGGGAGTTTAATCATTGATACATGATCAGGTAACAATGTCCTGCCGATTATTACCTGTAAAATAAACTGATATTTTAATGCCCATACCTCTTAGGTCAATAATGAAAGACTCAAGAGTTTTGCAATGAAACACCTTTTTTGGAATACAGTACGTTCTCCAGCGACTGGACCATAAGGTTCCATAAGGTTCAAATTTACTTTTTCCTGAGTCTTGATGAACACCTATTGTTGTCCCCGGTTAAAATATTTCTGAAGGGAATAGAAACCCTAAACTTTGTGTCCGGAAAGACATTCTGGAACTCCGTTTCAAAATTTAATTGAAACAATGCTTTGAAATGATGTTTCGAACATAAATTAGAAATGAAATTTTGAACCTTATTCTGGAAATATAAATTGAAACTCTTGCTTTTATCTCCTTTTTAGGAAGGGTATGAAAATTACCGTGTAAATGACATAGCGTGGATCAAAGACAAGCTCTTCTTGGTATCAAATACTAGTCATATTCATTGGTTTAATGTAACTGACAAGACCAGTGGGAAGTTAAAAGGCATCGATTCTGTAGGCAGCATTTCAATAGACTGGATTGCCAATCGGCTCTACTGGTCTAATCCCAAACAGCAAATGGTGAGTTACTAGTATATTGCTGATTACAGTAATAAATAAAATGACAGCTAACATAATCTGATCTTACTTTTAACATGACAATCATAGTTTCTTTGATATCAAGGTCCCATTTGGCGAGTTTATGCATGCCAGCCTTTTGTGGTGTGGTTTATGTAACTAATAAGACAAGATAAATCTTTATTTGCGATGGCAGCAACACGGCAACACGAATGCGTCATCAGGGTAAGTTGGGAGCGAAAACAAGCAGAAAAGAGAGATAGAAAGGGAAGGGAAAAACAAAAAGTTAACATTTTCAAGTTTGTGACAACGGCAGTGAAGTGTGAGGTTCTCTGATCAGGAGGTTCCAGATTCAATTTTGAGCTAGGCGACCCAAGTCTGATTGCTTCAAATATCTGTTGTTTGGAGCTGGTGAGGAATGAGATTCGAGGAGGGATGGGGCTCCAAGCACAGAATCATCCCTTGCTGTTACTTGAAGTGGTCTTCTCATATGTAGTTCTAATTTTTTTAAACATCTTAAAGCTAATTTCTTTCAATTATGACCCTTGTTTTTGGCTGTATTGTATTTACAAGTCAAGGTAATTTGGTCATTTTTCTCCTTTCCATTTTCCGTATCTTTCTCATATGGTTGTATACTAAAAAGTCAACCTTTTTTATTCATTTTCCTTGAATTTTATGTCGTACCACATATGATAGGATTATTTGTTTCTATTGTTAATTGTGTGAAAGTATATCCTTCAAATACGTACCACTCTCTTATTTTACTCTCTAAGAGGAGGCCCTTCTTAATGTAGCAGTGTTCAAAGCTTAGTAAATAAAACTATGGCTATCCTGAGAAAAAGGGACCTTTATGCATGGAGGCATATTTTTCAAGAGACTCAAAAACATACAAAAGGCAAGTTTCTGATGGAAAATAATCTTTTGTATCCCAAATAGTATGTATTAATGTTACTAGTGTTGTTCATTAATAGCAGTTCTATTTATTTAACAGTTGACACGTGGTAATTTGGATGGAAGCGAGCCAGAGATATTACCTGTTCTTACAGTTGCCAAAGAGCTAAACGTAGATTCTGTCGGTGGTTACTTGTACTGGTCAACAGGTCATGCAGTGGAGATAGCCCACTTGAATGGCCGCAAAAAACGCTCCCTTTACCCGTCTGAACCATTTTCGGGTAGGAGAGGTAAAACTGGTTCCTTACGTTTTACTTTAGTGGAGTCATTATGAAATAACCATCATTTTATAGAAATCGCCTAATAGATTCTTCTCCAAGACTTAAATTAGCAACAGAGATTCTGGAAAACTGGTTTTAAGAAGCCCTTTTTTGGTATCCAGGGATCCCCAATTATTATCTAAGGAACAAAACAGCCACTCTGGCCTTTTTGACAAACATTAATTAGAGATGAAAATGTTATCTCTATTGTGAATTTAACAATTTATCCGACTTTTCACGAAATAGAATTTTATATGATAGCACTAAAGTAGGAATTAAAAGTTTTGCTACCCACTTGTCCTTTATTTGAAATGTCAGAAAAAAACTTTCACCACTTTTTTGTGAGATTTTTCAAATTATTCTTGGGCGTTATCGTTTCATGGATAATGATATTAGACTTCTGAATTGTACACAAAAAAGCTACTGATTAAACAGTAATACAGTTCAAAAAACCGGTGATTTTCTTCCATTTGAATTCCTGTATCTTCAATAAGACCATGTCTATTCCAATTGTCTTTGATCAAAAAGTCACGAAAGTCAAAGTCGCTCACTATTGTAGGTGTGCAAAAAATGTCCAATCACACGCCCAGGCGAGGACATGAAAATGAGGGGGGAGGAAAATTTTTCAAGCTCCAAAAAGGAGGAATCTAAGGAAATAAAGAAGGGAAAGGTCATCTTTTTTGAAAGTTGGTCAGAAATTTTGAGGGAATTCAATGAGAAAAATGTGGAAAGCCGGCTGACGGGCGTGTGAAAAAGTAGAAGCTTGGAAAATTCTGCACTCACACATCACTGATACTTGCTGAGATTGTGCCTAAGGTCTCACATCCCATCCTCATTGTACCTAACGAGGCTGAGGATTTTAATGTTGCCTTTTAATATTTTTTATAGTCATTGGACTGACTCTAGACATGGAAGATCGCTCAGTTTATTGGATTGTGCGCAGCTATGAAGGATCTTCTCTTTTCAAGGCATTCATGGCAGATCCAACACTGAATGATCAAATCAGTCCTATTCATGTCATAACTTTAGAATCTTCAAATTTACAAGGTAAATGTTTGGAGTATGTTTTGGTGGGGTTAAAAAAAAAAGTCGCTGTCCTTCCTAAACGTTTATCAAAGCCTCAATCAAAATTCTATAAGTAGTCTCGACAAAACATTTTGAATTTTGGAGTATTTCGTATGCTATTGATCCTTTGTTAGGAAATTAAATGAATTTAGAATTTGACAAAATCCTCTAAGAGCTTATGGATCGATAAATTTTGAAATCTTATTTCTTGATTGTAAAGTTTCATAGTTTCTGACTTAATTTTAATTTTTGAAAAAACTGAGCTAATTTTATCATGTACAATGCTTACAAAATATCTTTGAACAGGAAGAAAAATCACAAAAATCTTCAGGACACTATATTGAGTAGTTGGTAAATAGAGAAATGATAAGCTGTAGTTAAAATTCTAACTGCAAAAATTAAGTCTTTTCATTAAACTATTTAATTCTTCTGTTTGATCACAGATGGCTTGCTAGGTTTGTTCATAAAAGTTTTAATGGGAGAAATTTTTGTCCAGTTAGGTGAACAATCAGACTTCGATTTTTCATCAGAAAACGCTGGTTAGTATCCTAAAAAATGAGTCGCAAGTGGTCTTATCAATTTAACATCAATTGCGGGTGCAAAATGACGCTAAATATAATCAGTCGGACAATTTTGAGTCTTGAACATGACTTATTGAGACTAATTTTAATTTATTTTTTTAACAACTAAATTAGTTAAATTGCAAACCTCTGAGTGTATGAAATAGACATTTCTTTAACTTGGATTAACAAACGTTAGCTCTAAATATTGGTGCCAACATTTCAACTAGGTAAGAGTTTTCTGGCACTTTCAAGTTCCTTTCTCTCATACATAAGTCACACAAATAGTGAACCACTTTTTAAGTATAAATGAAATAATGAAATGATTAAGTCTATAGTGAGGGTCTGGGGTATTACTTGGCTTGAGAAAAAACTGTTCAACCTGCTGGTCAAGCTATTCGGTGGCATTTGAAGGGCAGAGTCAGGTGAGCCGCTTGGTTTATTATTTAAGGGTTGATTGGCTAGTTCTTGACCATGGGTTGTGTGGATGAGTCAATTTATCTAAGACTTAACCCCTAAACAATATCCTAAGCCAGTCACTGACTCCACTCTTCAGCCGCCACCTCTTGGGGTCCAGACAAAAGTTACTGCGAATCATTGATTATCAAAGGAGGGGTATCGATAAGGGCCTTTTTTGGCCCCCTCCTAGAATCTGGAAATTTATGCGGGTTTTCCAAGTTGACTCAATGTAGTTTACGGAAATAATCATGATTTAGCCCATAGGCCACTGGATACATGTTAAACGGCCTGCAAACCTATGTTTAGGCATTTAACACGTATCCTGTGGACTATGGGCTAAATCATGATTATTTCCGTAAACTACATTGAGTCAACTTGGAAAACCCGCATAAATTTCCAGATTTAAGTTGATGTTATGCGTTTAGTGAAAATATACCTCCACTACTCCAAAATCCGTTATCTTCACAGCTGTTTGTATGGAAAATTCAATTTTTTTTTGGACACAATTAAAGGAAATCTCCTTGTAAGAGTCTAACAAGGCTTGATAACTGCCCTCGATAATATACGTAGCGTGCGTAGAGTTCGAGAGACGTGTTTCCCTAAGACTTTTGCGGATGTCCCTGAAACGTCGATTTTTGTAAAAAAAAATTTTTAACTATGAGCGCATCATTTAACTATAACCAAACCAGGGTTAAAATGTGTTTTAAAGCCTCCTTGATAATATATCAAAAGCTCGTTTTGGTTAGATGATGCGCTCGGTGTCAAAAAAGCCTCGAGTGATAGAAAAGCACGAATTTTCGCTAAAATACGCCTGCAGACCTATGTTTAGGCAACTGTTTAACATGTGTCCAGTGGCCTATGGGCTAAATCATGATTATTTCCGTAAACTACATTGAGTCAACTTGGAAAACTCGCATAAATTTCTAGATTCTAGGAGGGGGCCAAAAAAGGCCCTTATCGACACCCCTCCTTTTTATCAAAATTTTGTTGATGTTTTTAGGGCCACTGAGGTATTTAGACGGACATTTATTATGGCTTCAAGACTCCAACACTACTGTAATTGGAGACAAAAAGTGCAAAAATACAGCTGTAATATCAGAAGGCGCCCTCTCAAATCTCAACACTGTTCATGTGTTTGACCCCAACGTTCATACTATTCCAGGTCAGTTTTATTCTTTGTACAATCTTGCTCATTATGTAGAGCTTGATCCCCCATGAAATTTACCTTGAGGTACTCCGTGGTCCATTTCCTGATAGAAGTAGCCAAATATAAAATCATGAGTGAGTCTTAGCCATCACGTTTTTTATCTTTTGTACTAAAATTTGTGAGAGCCTTTTTTCCCTTGGATTTCCCCCTTGCGTGTCAATTTTAGTTATCACCGGAGTTTTTCCTTTAATTTACAAGAGGATAAATATTTTTCTTGAATTATCTCCTAAGTGTTTTATTCAAATGGATTTGTTTGACAGCTTGAAGAATTTGTGTCCTTACTTAGATACTTTAGCTGCTTTCTGAGAAAGAAAGAAAATTAACCTGATTGATAAGAAATAGAATACAGAAGGTTCAATTTAATTGTGTGATTCTGTGTTGTAGAACCATTCTTAAAGATCGTGTGTTGCATCAAATGAGTCATAAATGTCAGGAAGACTAAATGGAATAATACCCAGAATGTATTATCAAATCGATAAATTTCATTCTTCTTGTGACTGAAAGCAGTTTGCCTTCTCGAGACCCTATTTCTTTAACTGCCGGAAGAACCTTTCAGTATTTTTTGTCAAAAATTTCAAGAAAGAAATTAACATCCTGATTATAGTTTCTCATTCACTTTTGATGTACTATGACTATTGTTTTGTGTGGTAGTGAAAGGTGGAATGAAAATATTCTCGTTTCAAAATATTTAAATTTGAAGCATGACAGCATGAAGTGATGTTTGAATGAAGAGACTATGTAAAACTTTTGTGCATCTTCTCAATGACATCCTGTTGAAATTCCCCTTGGCATCTTTCTTAAGTTCAATGATTATTGCAGAATACTGTAACTTGTGTTCAATTTTGATACTTATGCTGTATTTTCTGAAATTAAAACGAATCAAATTTTTAAAGGGACTCAAAAATTTTGAAGTTAGTTCAACAATGAAATTTTGTTCCGCTACTTTTAATCCCTGTAAGCAAACTTTAAGTAAAAGTTGAATAATTTTTGCGTATTAATGTAATCTGATTTTAGCTGGTTTCACTCTAGATTCCATCAAAGTTGTACCGGACTCAGTGGATAATACTTCTATCCGAGTGGATGGAACCTTCAAATTGTTTAACATAACCTGGAATCCTGTCGTCAATATCAATTTTGGAGAATTATTTTATGAGATCAAAATCAAGGATCAAGACAAAGATTTTGAGGTAAATTTATTCATTTAGTTTCATATCTAACAAAAATTATTGTAATGGATTCAATATATTACAAAGCTGAGCTGCTGAAATTTTTGACCCATAGATGGCTCTGAGGCAAATTATGTGGGCAGATAGAAGTGAGGAATGATCATAGCCATTGTTTTGACATTGTTGCTTGACGGAATATTACTTTTTAAAGTATAGAATTTTTATCTGATTATGCTGGAAACAGAGACATAAAGTTTATTAGTTTGTCAAGTGGCCACTAGACAAGGTCTAAACTAGAAAAATTCCTGTATGTTCTCTTCAAAATTTTCCACGGAAAACGATTTAAACTTTTCAAGGCGATCGGAAATCAACCCTTGAACAAATATTTACACAGATCAAATTGAAGTTAGATTATACAAGTAACATCATTAGTAGGTTTGCCATTTGATCAATTTTAATTGTAAATGCTCATGTCTGGTTAAAGAGTTGATTTCAAGACTTCCTTTCATGTGATTCGTTTTCTTCATGAACTTTCGATTCAAAAAAACTTTGCCGAGTGCTATAATGTATACATTTTCTGTAGGCCCTTTTGATTAATTTTTGTCAATGCTTGAAAAATTGTTCACTCTTGAACTTATTATTCCAGAGCGAATTAACCAGTCCATGTTTGGCGTATGAGGGAGTACGTCCGTACACGCCCTTAAAAATTAGCATTCGTGCTTTTACGTATTGGGCCTCTTCCAATCCTACCCATGCTGTTGTCCACTCACCTCCATCAGCTCCTTCTCTTCCTCTCAACGCCCGAATTTTTGTGGAGCACGTGCATAGTCCTCTTCAAATGACTAAGGTAACGCAAAATCTTGCCCTCAATATCTTAATGTCATCTTGTAATTTAAAGTGTTACTTGAAGTGACACCATTCAGTCATCATTAGAGGTGCCGATAGCAAGCAAGCGACAGCAAGGTTCAAAAGCGACAGCGAGGTTTGCAGGCAACAGCAATTTTTGTAAGTGACTGCTGATTGAGGACTGACAGCAGCGAGATGGCAGCAACGTTGTTAGTGGTCACTCCTTGATTCCTATTCGACGACTGAAACGCAGTCATTTGCAAACGGAAAGTAAATAAATGTCAACTCAGGTGACAACACCTCTAATTACGTACTCAGGACAGGCAACAAATGTGAATCAATTGGAGAAAATTATTCAGTTTCCATAAGAAATTATTCATTGACAGGAATGCACCAGTCTTTGATTGATCATCCATTTCCTATAAAAATTATGTGACCTAATTTTTTGTATTGAACCAGCTTTATTTGGAAACGTCATTCCAATAAAAATAATTGAAGAGAGAACTTTTTATGGTACCAGAAATTGCTGTGGAAAAATATCCGGAGAATTCACTATTTCAACTGTAGATGATTGAATTTATAAAAAGAGTTTTCAGAAATACTCTTTTTTAAAAGTCTAATCTGCTTATTGTTAAAAAATGGTCAAAAATTGAACCATGAAAGGCTACAAGAGAGTAATACAAACTTGAATGTTTGAGTTTTCTCATAATAGTATAATTCAAGCAGTTACCTAGAATTTAAAAAAAAAATTACTTACTAAAAACTTTTGTGGTACGTTTCTTTAAAGAAAATATTCTCTAAAGATCCATGATCAGACTAGCTGCAGCCTAGACTCACTTTAATTAACCGTCCATCGATTAATTCGATCCAAGGCTAATGTATAAAACTCTATTTTTAATGATCATTGTATGCTAGCAGTTTTTAATTAGTTAAAATCTTATTTTTTTCTCCTTACAGAATGTAAAAACGACTTTTCGATGGTCTGTGCCTGCATTTCCAAATGGTGAAATTACATCCTACCGATTATTCTACTATTATGCATTGAATCAAAGTGATTGCAAAATGAATCATGAAGTGTCCATGGACGTTCTCGAATACTCCACTTTTGAAATACCATTCAATGCAACCGTTCACTTTCAAGTAAGGTCAATGTTATAATCACTCCTTTTTTTTTACTGTTTTTTTAAACCAGTGACCATTTATTTTTGCAATATGCAGTTTCCTAGCTTAAATTTTATTATATGTGAACAGAAATGGATATTATCTGTTCTGGTATGTTTAAATCTTGCTATCAGTTAATATAATTAAGGAAGGTGGAATATTTGCAAGACTTGAAAAACTGATTAGGACGCTGAACTTTTTGTGTAATTGTATAGCATTTCCACAATTAGCATTTCAAGATTTTTTTCTCTCCATATTTTAATAAAGAATGAAACAATGTGTTTGTTTACATGCAGATATGATGAAGTAAACAAAAATTTGAAATTAAATGGTACATTAAATATTTATTCAGCATGGGTGAGAGCAGAGAAGTATGAGTGCATGTTGCGAAAGCAAACCAGTAAGAATTAGGGAGGAGTCATTACAATAGGTTTGCTCTGCTCGCCAAAAGGAAGTACAAGAAATGTGTTGAAAAAAAAAAAAAAAAAAAAAAATCAGTCCTTCGAAAAATTAGTTTGAAAAGTCCGAGGATTAGCGGGGATGGGCTTTATCATATTTCAGACGCCTGCAACTTATCCCTTTGTTTATTTTTTTGCTCAGGTAAGTGCATGTAACAAGGGAGGCTGCAGTGACTTTACTTTGGATGTATCCACCAACACATCTCAGCTTACGCCTCTCCCAAAACTTCTATTTTTCTCCTCTGAGGCCCTGATGTGTTTGGACTTTGATAATCACACTAGCATTACTCATTTCTCGACGCCCAGCCCAGCAATTGACTTTGCTGCAAACTTTTTTGAGAACCAAGTCTTCTGGATTGATAACAACAAAATAATGTGGAGTGCACCTCTTAATGCAGCGCAGAAAATAAAAGTAAGACAACATTTTCAAGTAACGCAAACATTCCCTCCCCCATTCTCACAGAAATAAAAGTGACCTTTTGATATTGATTTTACCCAGTTTAACAAATACATTTGCCTGTTCTAAACTACAATGTGGGCAAATTTATGAATGGTTTTCTTTTTTAAAATCGCTTTAAGATAATAAGCCTACAGTCAGAATCTGAATATCTCTTACCTCACAATTTTCAAAAAGAATTCGCACATTTTGGCGCGTATACGTAGTATACCGCCTTTGCGATCGTTTCGACCCCCCCCTCGATACAATAACCGAGTCCCCTAGTTCCTTACCGAAAAGTGACTACCGCGAACTTCTGAGATTTTCCAAAGCGTGTAAAAAGTTTACTAATCCGTCAATAATAATGATTAAAATTTGTTTCTCATTCTGGGGCTCGCTAGTTTATGTGTAATGAATACCAAGANTTGTTTGAGATTGAAAAAAACAAACAAAGACTAATAGCAGCCGCTTATGTATTGAGTCAATGTCATAACCGTGCACAAAACCAAGCTAGCCATCATTTGATGGCATATTTCCTCTATTTAAAAAGAGAATTCGAATCCTCCAGGACGGGGTATGGACAAGTGAATCATTTCTTCATCCTCAATTCTACTGGCTTAATGTATGTTTTGCAAAAGGAAAACACTGAGTAAATTAAGAATGAAACCCATAGTTAATTAATGACTGACTTTTTCACCTTTTATGAGCTTCTCTATATTTTTCTGACTCCTTTCTTTTAGTTAACAATACTGAATGGCACTGGGCAAGCATTAGCAGTTGATTGGGTTGGTCGCATTATTTTTTGGTCTGAAAGCGATACAAAAATGTCCCATGTTTATGCTTTAAATTTAAACAATGGAGCTGTCTCATCATTATTCAGTCGCCAGTCCTCTATTATATGCCTTCAAGTTGCTCCACTTCAAAGGTTTGTCACTTTATAATATTTTTTTGCATGTCAACTACACAGTCTATTCTACTGTGTTAGGCATCAAAAAAGTTCTCGCTTATAGTCCACAAAGTCACAGGTCCAAACCCTGCAGGAAGTCACCTTATCTGTGAGAGAAGCCAAAATGGGCGTGTCACTTTTTCCTACATTGAAATCCAACATTAGAAATAAAGCAATGAAAATATTTTTTTGTTTTCTTCAAAAATTTTAAATTTTTCAATTTTTCTTCTTCTCACAGCCTCATCCTATGGATTGAAGAAAATGAGGATAAAACTAACAGTCTAATGTCCAGCAAATTTAATGGATCAGATATCCAGCCTTTGTTTGATTCACAGAAATCTAGGTAAGTTAAATTAGTCGGTTCTTTTTAATCTTAAAAAAAGAAATATTTAAAAGCAAATAAAATTTTTTTGAATCTCAGGTGAGGGGTCTACTGAAATGTTCATATTCTGAGATTTTCAGTGTAATACATATATTTTTTCATGCTTTCATTCTTGTCCCAAGAATTTGCAAACTCCAGTCTTTACCTCTGAGCAACCTAATCTGAAAGTGTGTAGGTATTGAGCTGCAAATATTATCATCTACTCAGAGGCTATTTATAAATTATGTCATGCAGTAGAGGGAAGAAAAGTATTGCGTCATGTGTCGTGTTATGCCAAAACTGCTTAAAGTAATGCAAAGTGCCAATTATTTTAAAAGTTTAAGAAGTCTTGGTAAAAATATTGAATTTCTGTGTTAAAAGGAGGAGGAATGGCCACAGTCTGAAAAGTGATTTTTTACCTAGAAGCAATTTGAGAGCCGTGACTGGGACAAAATTGCGGCCATTAAAGACCCTAATTTGGTTTTTTTCTTTAAAATGCTGGGTTGCTGAAAGAGAGGAGAAAGAAATTCACAAAATGCTCTCATAAGTAATTTACTGAATTCTGGACTTCCTGTTATAAAAACCTTTGTTTTGTTTTCTGTCCCTCGCAGGAAAAGGAGGAACTCATGTGATTGTCCCACCGACAGCATTATCAGCCAGGTGTTATCCATAGAATATAACAAGAATCTGGAAGCTCGGGTACTCTGGTACGATGAAAAACATAAGAAAATTTGGTCTACAGATGTGAGTGGTTGCCCATGTGTTACTCTGATCAGTTCTGTCAAGAATGAGCCAAATGGTAATCAAAATATATAATTTATTTTATTATAATTTTTCAGTCCTTAAAATTGTGAGAGAGGCTTTTCTTCCACACAAGTGTCAATCACAGAAATCGAATACATCTTCTAATGTTAGTTATTCACCTCTGATTGATCATTGTAAAGGTCAGCCATCGTATTTTTGCCATTAAAAAGTCTATATAGTAGGAGATTAAGCCATTTGTACAAAAGATTATTTTAGTGTACTTGCTGTGAATCAAAGTATTGCATCTGTTTTACTTAGGGGTGCAAGATTTTATTGCAAGTGTGATACATTTGAAGAGATCAATAAATTAGGAGATGTGCTCAACTTGAACCCTGATTAATGTCTCTGTCTTCTCTCTTTTTCCAGATTTGCCTTTAACGTCTCTAACTTCTGACAGTAAATATATATATTGGTCAAGCTATAACCGGCAGATAATTTATTCAGCCATGAAAAATGAAACTGACGGTCTTCTAGTCAGCGATTCACCTCTTTTCTCTTCTTTCTCATCTGTTGAGATCAGCAAAATTCTAGCCGTAGGATCCCACCTTCAACCTTATCCTGGTAATAATGTCTATCTTTGATATTCAAGTCCACCATATTTCATCTGTTCTTATAGTGGATGTTTATTTTTCTTAAATTTCTGTAACTTTTGTGACTGCACCATTTTATTTTTTAGACAGTCATATCTCTTCATAACGTTTCTTGAAATAATGTTTCTCCGGAAACATCTTTCATTTTTCAAAGTCCTGGCCAGTCATTTCTCGTTTTAGTGATTCTTGAAATAAAGTTTTTCTGGAAACAACGTTCTCCATTTACTTCCCATTTGAGAATTTTATGAACGAGACACGCCTACAACTCTTAATTGATTCTGCAGAATCTTATACAAAAGGAAAACAAATTCTCTTATACATTTCAAAACTTTGCCTCAAGCTCATGAGATAACTTGGAAGAAATATTTGACTTAAAATAATTCTTAAAATTTACAATTAGCCTTTGCTTACTTTCAGTTAGCTGAGGACACAGCATCCTGTAAATTTTATTTATTCAATCACCTTTAGTAAATTTATCCTTGTAAATTTTCACTTTGCTCTCAAATGGGTTGCTCTACCGATTTATTACAAAGCTATACGGTACATGAAGATATTTTTGCGTCAATCTAACCCGATAGTTTATGACGAAAAAATCTTGTACCTAATCCTACTGGCAAATGGCACATAACTTTTCCGCAGGTTAATCTTACTTTGTCCCTTAACAACAACAAATTATAATCTCAACTAATTCATAATCAAATTAAATTATCATACCTAAAACACATTCCTCTATTCAGGAAGACAACTCTCTAAATGCAAGTCGCAACCCTTACTTCTTAGATTTTCTGTGCATGTGATGAATTTTAGTTAATGCTGTAACGTATGGTGGAGCTTTTCACTCATTTATTCCTTTTTTTTCCAGATGCTAAGTGTCTGGTGCCGATGAAGCACTCTGTGGCTGTCTCTATGCTGAACAAAACGGACCACTCAATTACATTAAAAATACCTACATTGGATAAAGATGACTCTTGTAGGTTCATATCAACGCCCATTTATCGTTTTGCAGTTTATTATGGTTCCGTCAGCAATAACAGCACATCTAGATGTGCCATCGACCTAAGTGATTGCTGGAAAATTGTAAGTCAGTCTTTAAGCTGTAACACATTTTCTTTAAAAGTAAGATTTTTTGAAGACAATGAATAATATTTGCCTATTCATTCATTGTGCCCCTTCCCTTCTAAATTAAGAATCATAAATACTTCTGCTGGAATACTGAAATGCGTAAAAATTTGTTCGACATAGAAATCGTAGCTGCTCTCGTGTTTCAAGAGTCAACCTGAGGTATTGATGGAAATTAGTGACAAAGGACACTGAAGCAAAAGGTCCCAGTCTGTTTCGATCTCAAGAGCAAGATGGGATTGGTGAAAAGGAGAGAGACTCTGCCATTAATTGTTTTATTCTACACTTATGTTGTACTTTTCATACTAAACTATCATTGCGGTTTAAATGTGTGTAGTCCTTTTTTGCTGTCAGAGAGGTGCTCTTTTTTTTTCAAGGTTAGGGAGAACTGCGCTGTTTATGTTGATTTGTTGTGTGATCAACATAATCTGGGAAGAAAAATTTTTAAAAAATTGATCCAACAATTTAGTGAAAGAAAATAAATTTTCATCAACCGGTCAGCCTCTTTGTGTAATCCTTACCTACTTGTTTCATTGTATGATCTCTTTTTTAATGTTGCATTTATTCAAAACTTTTTCAGATGACCTATGAACATGTCATTAAAATTGAAGATCTCAAAGCTTATGAGCAATACGTTTTTAGAGTAGCTGTTCAGAACTATTTTTCTGATTTGGGGTTGTCAGATCTTTCCTTGGGCCCCCTAACAGTCCTTAGAACTGCTGTTGGAGGTATGTTGTTTTGACCTAAGTACAAATTGTTTTTTATCTTTCCTCGAATTTTTATTTTTTAGTTTTTACTGAAGAAAGTGGCAAGTACTCTTCATTGCCAATGTTTTTGATTTTTGGTCAATCTGCAATTATTCATCGCGAAGGGGCTTTCTTACATGCAAAAAATTTCAGGAGAGAAATTTTTTTTAAGTTCGGTAAAAAATTGGAATCAAAAGGAAATGCTCCCTGCAGGGCTGTGCAAATAGTGAATCTTGAAAACAAAGCAAATAATTTAAGCCAACCATTCACACAATGACACATCAGGAAATTACAGTGTACAAAATTCGACCCATTTGTTTTTATTTTCAGCACCAGCACCACCGCAGAACTTAAGTGCTGTTCCATTGAGTCCCAACCGAATTCTCGTTGAATGGAATCATTCATCCAGGTTTAAGCTAATTAAACCTGCTTTCCTCCTTTCGTGGACTGCTGAAGAGGAAAATGGTGTTCGTCACAATGGTGAAATCACCGTGGTCTCGGATTTTAATTACCCACACAACAGGATCAGTACAACTGTTTCGAAACTGCATCCAAACCTGCATTATCAAATTAAGGTAAACTTTGATTTCTGCATACCATCATATTTTTGCCGAAGTGACATTTCCGGTGATCACACCTTAGCAGCAGGAATGCATCAGTTATGAAGCGGACAAATTAATTGTTCTCCAATGAGATAGACTTTCTCAAGCTAACACCGCGCAGAAAATGCCCAAAAATATCAAATGGATGGATACGCGATTGAGGATTGAAATTCTGAAAACGTAGTCTAAAGAAAATGTGTTTCAAAGTTTTAATCTGTTATTCTTGGGGGCCAAAATTGTTTAGCCGAATTACAATTTGTCAGCCTGAGATGGCTTAATAATGTTGGAAACTACTCACAACTTATTTTTTTTAGTAAACTAGGAAGAGTCCCAGGTAGGAAAATGAAATATTCTCCCGACAATCCAACTTGACGAAAATTTGGCTACGTCTGCTAAGGTTCCTTCTCCTATGGATGGTCACTTATTGATTTTGATAATTTCTTATTACCTATCATAATGATCTCTCAAAATCATCTTATCGTGTCAGTAGGAGAACAATTTATAGTGAGGTCCACAGGTTCTTCAGGAATATCTTAAAATGAAAGGAAAATTTTGCTGTAGAAAGGGGTCGGAAGTTCATGAGCATATTTATCCTTGCAGGGGGGAAATATAAGGCCATGGGAGCTCTTTTTTCACTTTCACATGGACAACTGTCTCTCATTCTTTACTCGGTGAAACTGTCATTGTTTACATAAGTGTTCTTTTTTTATCTCAAAATTTATCTCGATAGGCTCGTTAGGCATTTTATTAAAATCCAATTCCAGACTATCCATCTTCTTCCATCAGCAATGCCCCTTCTACTCTGAAGTCTTGAAAGTAATGGGTTCAGATCTCATTTTAATAGTACAATTTTCAGATCCTTTTTTAAACTTTTTTTAGGTCAGAACTTTCTATGAGGATGATGGGCGGACATATTCGGAAACAGCCATGGTCGGGGTGTCAACCTACCCTGAGCCGCACGATCTTGTTCTGAACTCGGCCACCTCTCGTTCGCTAAATATTTCCTGGCTGGGTGAAAAAGAATATCCCTACTCGAAGTAAGTAGAATAATTCGGTTTAACGGGTCATCCATGTCAATTTTGTAGTTTGAATTCTTTCATCCAGTAATGTCAATAAAATAGAGCTGTACAATACCTCCCGGAATTTTTGTAAATTTAAGTTTCCTATGCTTGATTCCAGGAAAATTATGTTCTATATTTTGAAAATGCTCAGTAATCGATTGGTAAAAATTTTTAAACGGAATATAGTGCTATCAAACTTAACAGTTCTCCATTTTCAATACCTAATCTATATTTTTGGCTAAGTGTTTAAATATTATTCAGTTTTTAAATTTTTCATGTACTTCTCTGATCTAGGTATGTCTTAGAGTTTTGCGAGTCAGCAGTGAATGTCTGGAATCCTGTGGTGAAGCAAGGGAAGCAGCCATTTTATATTTTGGGTGGCTTATCCCCCAAAGTTCGATACAGTTTTCGATTGGCGATAACTTTTTCAAAGTTTGTTCCTGTTTTCATCTGGCCTTTAGATAGTCGATTTTCATTTCTGACTCTAGGTAAGCTGCATGTACCATTCATTAAATTTTTTCTGTTTTTTTTTGGTTGGGATTGAGGGTTTTCCATTTTCCTTTTCGACCAAGTTGAAAATCTTTGAGCTTAAATAAAGTAGGTAGTCCCAGAATGTATTAAATTTTGACCTCTATGGAATTAACGCGTATAAGGAAGTAATTAGTCCAGATCTAATTTTAAAAAGGGCTTGTGTTTTGTCAGATAAAGTACTGCTAGCTAATTTAATGTTATTGTGGACTGTTGGAATTTTCCTTGTATGTAGCTAAGACTTTCAAGTTGAGCATATAATTTTATGGAACAAACAAATAGTACAAAAAAGTATAGTAGTGTATTCTAAATTCTTTCCTTTTTGTAAAAATCTTTGAAATGTGGTCACTACATCAATCTTACTTTGAAGGATGTCCTGAAAATCAGTACCAGCGTTGAACGTCAAAAGCTTTCTTCTAACAAGGAAGTCAAATTTAGATCTGACCATTGTATTTTCTACTAAACATAATACAAATTGATATAGCTTTTTCAGCAAAAATGTTAGTGTTGCTTGTTACATACATTATGATATCTTTAACCTTTGTTTGAAAAATTAGTAGAATATCCATGAAATGACTTCCATACTTTTAATATGTATCTACTCTCATTCTCTTGTTCTTTCAGGTGATAAACCAAGTCCTCCTGGGGCGCCTTTTATTCAAAGTTTGTTTGGTGCTGTGTACAAAATAACATGGGAATCATCAAAGGAGAACGGAGGTACAATTGAGCTCTACAGATTGGAAGGGAAAAAGAAAGATCTGTCTGCACTACCTATTAGTAATTCACTGAGCGCAGACAATTCTTCCGAGTTTGTCTCTAATAACTGGACTCTTTACTACAATGGAACAGGTAAATTTATTTTTACCCAATTCTCTATACACTATGAATTTTGAAGTAAAGAATCATCATTCTTTTCTTATTTATTACTAAAAAATGTTACACAGTATGTCTTGTAACCACAAATTTTGAAAGTATAACTATGTTTTTCACTATTTTCGGTCACATAATTAGTAAATATTTATGACTGACCATAATGAGATGGACTTTAATATTGAAAAACTCAGTATTTAGTCGTTGATCTTGCCCAGTCAATGGTACCTGAAAAGGTTGTAGAAACGTTGCTGCAATGTTACTCATGGCCATGGGTAAAAGTAACATTGCGGCAACGTTTCTGCAGCTATGGTAAATTCATTAGTTGTGCTCGAATTTATGTTCAACAAAAGAGCTGCCATAATAAATTGAATTAAAATTGAAAATATTTCTTGTTTCAGAGAATTATTGGATTGTCACGGAACTATCACCGAACTGTCAGTATCAGTTTCGAGTGTGCTCTAAAAACATGTATGGATGGAGCAACTTCAGCGAAATTAGTGATTCATACGATTTGGATGCCAATCATCAATTGATCATCCATGATACAAAATCTGGGTTACCTTTCTGGATTTTTATCCCACTTCTCTTCATTTTCATTCTTGTGCTCATCTGCGTTCTCCATCGTTGTGAGTAGCTGTTTTTGCAATAATCTTTTTTTTTTTGTTCTTAAAGAAAAATTGAAACATCCAGTAAGTGAAGAGTAAAGAGAGAAAAAAGAAATTGACCTATTCAGTTTGGTAACATTACTCAAAATATTACTGATTCCTTTCATTCAACGGAACCATAGTCTTTTTAGTTTCTATTTTTACTAATGGAACGTAATGGATTTTTTTGTAAAATTTAGAACAAATAAAACTGTATTCTATTCATATTTGATTTTTAAACAATAATAAAATAATCAGGAATTGAGAGAAAAAAAGAAAAAAAAAGAAAAGAAAAAATCCACGATTGTGGGTGTCTGTTGAAAAAGGGTTCTTAATGCACGGTGACAAAAATTTCAGAGAAACGATTTGTGTTAAGTCGGATCGAAAAATCGGAATTTAAATTTCTGACTGAAACCTTTCTCAAATACTCACCTCCAAAAATGAGTTGCAGTGATTTCCATAATTCATTTCAGTGCCAATACAGGGAATGTAGTTTAATTTGGTGAACAAAGACAGGTGGGTAACAAGATAATTTTGAGTCCAATACTTGGCAGATTAAAACTTGAAATAGCCCCTTTTCAAAATTTTGTTAATGGACGTGCAGCCTTTAATGTCTCATAATTCTTGGTTGGCTTGAGAATTTAGTTCATTTTAGTGCTAAAATATTTTTCTGAGTCTCTTAATACCAAGGGTTGTTTTCTGATAGACAGTCACAGTTATAGGAGTATGATGAAGGTACACTATTTTATTATTTTTAAAATATTAAACGACGGTTTGTCTTTTTTAGTTTTCCGGCGAACGGGCAAGAAAAAGAATAACATTTTTGTAAATGGGAATGGAGTTTCCTGCAGAAGGGGCAGCGACGCAGAGCTAGCAACTTTACGAGAGTTACCACGACACCCAAACTTCATCGAAAATACCAACATACTTTATGCAACTTCCGACAATTGCTTTTTTGATGATGAAGAGCAGCTGAAGTCTCTGCCGCACATCAGACGGGATCAAATCACACTTACTAAATTCTTGGGAAGCGGTGCGTTTGGGGAAGTTTTTGAAGGAGTTGCTAAAGACACATTTTTCAATGGCCCGACAGATGAAACTAGAAATTGTTTAGAAACCAGGGTAGCCATCAAAGTAAGTCCATTATTCAATTATTATTTTAACTTTCTGATTAAATTAATTATCATCAACAACTAACTTCCATTTTTCCAGCATCAGGGTCTTTTGTTCCTGTAGACATTCACATTCATTCATTTCTCTAAGATCAGGAGCTGAAGTTTAAGAAAATTTACAATATAGAAAAATCAAGTTCATCACATACCAACAAAAAAGAAAATAAAATAAATATGCTCTTAATAGCAATTTTATTACACAAAATTTTTTCAATCAATTAATCTGTACATCACCTTAGTCATTCTCGTGCTATTATAGCTCTGAACCATTAATTTCTTTTCTCTGTCCATCTTTGCATCACGAATAACAGTTTTTTTTCTTTCTTTTTTTTTTTCTTAATTTTCCGCAGACATTAAGGAAGAGAGCATCAGGCCATGAAAAAACTGAATTCATCAAAGAGGCCTTACTAATGAGCAACTTCAAACACCCTCATATTCTTCCTCTTCTTGGTGTCTGTTTGGATAACGATCCTGCCTTCATAATTTCGGAACTAATGGAAGGGGGTGATCTCCTTTGCTACCTGCGGCAAAAGAGACCTCTGACGGTTAGTACCATATATTTTCAAAAAACTGATCTAATACTGAAGAATCAAATATTTTGTGGTTCCTTAAAACTTTGTATTGCAGCCTTAAAATGTAGTTTTTGAGGTCAATTCCCATCTGCAAATTTTACCTCAAAGCAAGTTTCTCTCAGACTTACCAAAAGCTCAATTTATCTAAAAACAGCAAGGTTCATTTACCGGAGGTTTTAAACGTTGGATAAATTTTGCTAAGAGAGATCTTACAACTCATGCTCTATCAATCATTGCTCTACGTGATTCACATCGCGCGCTAAACGTTATCATGACAGTCTCTGCGATATAAAAATCTGACAACTTCAATCTTGACGCTGTGGCTCAGCTATAGCAAATTGCTTGTAGTTTGAACAACACATGGTGGGAAATGAACATTGCTCGATTGAGATGCTTGCTGAAACCGTTGCAGTGCGCGATTTGACTCACGAAGAGTGTCACAGGTATTGAATTACCTGCAACTTGTTCTTTTCTTAAACTTATAAAGAGCCTCCCAAAAAGTGGCCCCTTTTTTGAAACTCGGGGATTTCATTCGTATGCGGCTTAAATGAAACCTTATGATGAGACAAGTCTCCAGTAAAAATTTTAGCTTGAGTATACGTCTGGTTTCCAAGATACAGCGTTGCAAAGTTTGCATATTTAAGCTTTAAAAATTCGCATATTTTCAAATATCTTACTTTAAAAAACAACTCCATCAGATATAATCTGTTATTTTGTGACATTTTACCTACAGTCAGTCTTATCTTTACATCTATATTCCTATTGATACGGCGATACTGCTGATTCTCTTGATACAACGTTGCAAAGTTGACACCAAAGACCTATAAAAATTGCTCATTTTTGTAAGTTTCTGAATGAAAAAACGAACTTATTGATCACCAAAAGATCTGTCTATGGTGTTTAGATGTAACTTTATAATATGATAAGTCTTTTGTATAGGCCTTACCGCAAGCATAAGTACAGATTTAATGATACAGCGTTGCTAAGTTTATACATTTGAGCTTTAAAAATGTTTATATTTCTAAGTCCCGCGTTTAAAAAGCTACTTTCGTGGATCTTATTTAGAATTTGAAGCATGAAATCTGCCAAATGTGTCATTATTTACGAAGGACCACCATTGTCATCAGAGAAATCCACCAGCTTCCTTGTATTTTCAGTGGAATTTTGATCATATTTTCAGACAACTGAAGTGGGGCTAACCTTAGACGATCTAATCACAATGAGCTTGGATGTTGTGAAAGGTTGTTGTTACCTAGAAGAAATGCATTTTGTCCATCGGGATCTAGCTTGTCGAAATTGTCTAGTATCATCTCATGACCCACTCCAGAGGATTGTAAAAATTGGCGATTTTGGGCTAGCTAGGGATATCTACAAGAATGATTACTACCGCAAAGAAGGAGAAGGTTTATTACCCGTGAGGTGAGATATGCCAATTTATCTTGAATTTTGTAATAATCCTCCATTTTTTAATATTTTTATTTTGAGAAAAGCCTGTGCTGAAAATAAATTCCATCTGGCACTTCTTAAATTCCAAGCTTAAAAGATGGGCCTCTCGAATGTATTCTCCATATGCTTTTTCCTTCACATTTTTCCCCCCCAAAGTGGATCTTCAATTTATTTTTAGGGGTGGACATGTGTCGAGGTATATCACCGCACATTGTTTCTTTGAGACACGATTTTACCCAATTCTCAAAAATTAATGCCCCTGCCTTGATGAGACCGTCACTACTGCCATGGCAATTCAAATAATTGAATACTACATTTCACAATTTGAACGACTTTTTTGAAGAATTTTAAAAAACTTAATCCCAGTTACAATGTAAGAGGCTGTGAAAAAACATCCCCTCCATGTTCAAAATTATTTCATCCATCTGGGAAAGTTTTATAGCTCAGGTAAATTTTTAAAATACGGATGATTGCTAAGATAAGATAAGATTGCACTGATAAGATAATTGAATATATGCACCTTTAAATTTTTTTAGCCTTATTTGTTGAATTATGCATATTGCCTCTATACTGACATTTATCGTTTCGATGCCAAGCCACTGAAATTTTTTTGTATGAGCGGACTAAACAATCCTTGCATTTAATCAGTTAGTGTAGATGTTCCAAACAAGAGAAATTAATGAGCATTTGAATGTGCTCACACAGTCAACAGTAGCACTGTTTAGGAGAGGAAGTTTCTTTTTCCATTCTTTTCATTTTTATTATTAATTTTCATTCTCTTCTTGTACTTAGATCATACAGATATTGCATGTAATTGTCCTTTTACAGGTGGATGGCGCCAGAATCACTTGTGGATGGTGTATTTACCAGCCAGTCAGACGTTTGGTCTTTCGGAGTACTTGTCTGGGAAGTCCTTACCTTAGGCCAGCGACCATATCCAGCCAGATCAAACTTAGAAGTGCTTAATTTTGTTAGGAATGGTGGCCGGCTGAGTAAACCATGCAATGCTACAGAACAGTTGTAAGTTAAATTCTTATTCAAAATATGTACTCAATTCCTTTTCAAACAGACCTATTTTTATTTTTGAACCAGGCTTTTAAGAATTGTAAATCTTCTAGGATAAAATCTTCGTTTGGCATAGCATCTTTGAAGGCTTGAAAAGAGTGATCGTGAAAATTCTACATATAATTTATTATTTCTTCAACTCAGCTGAATTAGATTTGCAAACACTCTTCCTTGCTAGAAGTCTAACTGCAAAAACAAAATTCTACTGAAGGGCAATGAAACAAACTTACCCAACAAAATGCAACTTTTTTGAAAATTATTCGCAAACTTTGGTGAGTCAGCTCAACTAAGTTATAATTTTGGTGGATAAATTCATTTTTCTTTCTTGCAGGTATGAACTTATGCAGCGTTGTTGGAGCTTTTCACCATCAGATCGACCATCATTCCGTTTCTGTCGAGAAACTTTGGAGTCCATCAAGGAAACTTGTAGTAACACTCCTCTTGTCATAGAAGTTAATGATTACATAAGTTTGGAAAAAGAAGGTGAGGAAAATGTATTTCAATGATCTCTTGGTGATGACAGTATTCTCACTTCTGTAACAGACATTTTTCTCAACCAGAAATAAATGGAAAACAAGCTAGGCCTAAATTAATATTTTACCATCATAGGTGCAACTTGAATCCATTCCTTCAGATAAAGCCATTGAGTAAATGTGTGTAGATTTTAAGTCATCAGGAGGGCGTTTTTTTGGGATCAGTGGAGGACCGATTTTGTATAGAGTAGAGTTTTTATACATCTTGATGTTTTCCAAAGTATCTAATGACTACTTGGAAAGAAGAGGAAACCTTCCTATGTTTAAAATTGTAGGGATATTTTTGAAAATTTGTGATGGAATCTAGTATGAATGTTTCTACCTATATCAATTTTTCTGACTTCAAAGATTTACATTTGATCAATATAATACTTGTTTTTCTAGTTTTCTTAGTTTTGACATCTGGGCTTTTTTTCACATCCTCAGTTCAATTATATCCCAATTTGTGTTTTTGATGAAAGGCTGAAAGTGTTGAGGAGTATTCATTCAACGGATGAGAGAATTTTTCCTAGAAATAAAAAAGAACTGAATGTTCAAAATTTACGCAGAGAAAAAACATCCTATCTCATGAACTCAATTACGTCTCTCATTAACCTGTCTCCTGAGGGTAATGCTTAATTGAAACGAAATCTCTTTAATTTTAGTCCCAGTTACTAAGTTAAAAAACAAAAAAGGTTTCTAGAGTCTCATCAAAAAAATCAGTTTTATGTTGTTGTGTAAAACAGGAAAGTTCTCTCCAAATACCGGCACTTCGGCTCCTCTGATAATCTATCTCATTTCAGATGAACCTAATCGGCAAACAGACAGCCGAATTTCCAATTCATCCGGAGATGTCTCAGCAAGTCTTCCTGCCCTCACAGATAGCCAAGGATACTTGAAACTAAATGAAGAGACCAACAATGCTGAATCTGACTCTTCCCAACACACAGGAGCCTGCGAACAATCGCAAAGCTCAGCATCCATGCCTAAAGAAACGATAGGTCCAGCGTTCGAAAATAACAATTTTCCAATTATAAATCGCAATCAGACCTATGATGTTAGCTAGTCTTGACCTAATCTATGCTCAAGTGGATTAAATGTGAGAAAAAACAGCCTGTCTCTAGAGCTATAATGGAAGTTAAGAAGCAGGCGTGTGTCAATTAGAAAATTATGTTTCTAAGTAAAGTTTTTTAAGTATGTCAGGTGATAATCCTAGTAACAACTCTATCGTTTGACTTTTAAGAGAAATTTTTGATCCAGATCATCAGGAAAGAATACAACATAACTGTATATAGGAAATTTAATGTAATGCATTACAATTAGTAGAGATTTGACTTCTAACTGTTGTTGTGATAATCCGAGTAGCAACTCCATGGTCTGACTTAAGAGAAATTTTTGATGCAGATTATCAGGAAAGATTACAACCACAGCTGTAAATAGGAAATTTAGTGTAATGCATTACAATTAGTGCCAGATAGAGATTTGACTTCTAACTGTTATTGCGATGGAGTATGAGACAATCAGCTCTAGGATTCACCGTGTCTCCCATCTAATAGGGGAACAATTGACTGCTTGAGAGAGTGCTTGTTTCACAGAAAAATAGAATTTGATGCGGCTAATCGCAGCGCTAATACATCAAATCTTTAAGGTTTATATTACCAAGGTGTATGTTTATGAGGCTAAGATATCATGATAGGAAGGGAAGTACTTAAAACTATTAGATTTTGGTGAAACTATGTGTCAGTGTTCCTCTCCACAATTAGTGGCTAATCTAAACTAATCTTGAGTTTCGAATTTAGAGGTCAAACATTTTTGAACTTATTGCAGAGGACTGTTGCAAAAATGAATTGATGACAAGTGCTTTGTATTGGTCAACATAATTATTAATTGTATTCATTATGAAATGAGAAGTAGCTTGCCCTCGGTTGCTCTGTTCGATGTTTTATTCCACCTTTGTCTCTTAGAAGCTGTTGTATTGTTGCTCTTGCAGCTAATACTTTTGTAATTTGGGACCATTGAGGACACTGCATTGATAAGGACATATAACTGGAAACCATATTTTGAGGAAAAAGCTATGCCTTCGTTCTGGTGTGTTATTGTTATCACCCCATCGAATTCGTCATGAATTTATTCGATTTATAATGGAGTTCAACGAATCTTTGCGCACTCGCACATGATACACACACCATTGCACTGTGGGCCAGAGAGGCCCGTTTCGCGCGAAAAATACCATTTTTAAGAGTGTTCAGTTTTGTATTGATGATGAGGAATTCGCTTAAGTGCCTCTCTAAGGGATGAGGATTCATCATAATTTCATCGAATAATCGCCCGACAGCGATGTATTGGAGGGGGGAACTTGGATACCTCTCACACTGCACGGACAATATATAGAAGCGCGTCCTGAACTGCAACCGTGTAAGACCTTAACACGGCTCCGCGGTTGCACAGGATGACAATTTGTTCACTAGGACTTCTTCTCCTAAAAAAGAGCTTTCATTTGATGTATGCACTTTTTCAATTGCGCACTTTTCACTGTCCGTAAAGCTTGTTAGAAAACGTGCCTAATAAATCTTAAAAATTCCATCGAAAAAGCTTTCTGCAGTTTTTTCTTTAAGTTTCCTTAGAGTTTAAATGCCAGATACTTTTTCTTTGAATCCTCAACTATCATTTGCACCACAGTTTTGCTGCGGGAAATTGCGGGAAACCCATTTTTTTAATTTTTTTAAAAAAAAAGTCGACTTATCAAAAATAGGATTAAGTTCATATTTCACACATATGACCTCAGATATCGCACAGTAATTAAATTCTTCAAGTGAATAGTAATAATATTGTTAAATTGAGTTGCTGCGCTTCTGAAGGTGCGCACTTTTTTCCATGGTTGCCACATTTTTTCGTATTTAATAAGTGCAAAAAA